GGACTACAACTCCCAGAAGCCTTCACCACCACCTCTGCTGGCCAGGATTTCTGGGAGTTGGAAGTCCAAGAACATCTGGAGGCCAAAGGTTGGGGACCACTGGTTTAGATCACTTGTATCAGTAAGGTCATTTTCCAGGTCTTAGAAAATGGGAAATTCTATCATGAAGAAATAAGGTGCATAGGGTGGAACATGTTCACCAAATACATATCCATAGCTTGGAAAAGAGAAAGAGTGCAAAATCCTAATTCATTCAGAAGTAAGGCTAAGGTAATTATTCAAAAATTGGTACAAGTGTAAAACAGATGAACTCAGGTTTTTATAAACTGATCACATGACACAAAGTCCAGTTTGAATTAGTCCAGCCCTTTTCGCTCCCAACACAGAGTTTTTCTCTCTGTCAATGGGGGGGGGCTTCTACTTTCTCAAACTAGAACAATTTGAATGGACTTTTCTCTGTGTGATCAGTTTTGTTCTCCAAAAGGATGAGGGGGCATGACTGTGGGTGGTATTCTAGTGATATGTTCAGCTGTCCATGATTTTTGGAACCACAGGAACACCCACCTCCACAATCTTTCTCCATGTTCAGCTGTCCATGTTTTTTGGAACCGCAGGAACACCCACCTCCACAATCTTTCTCCTGTCACCCCAAAATATTGTTTATTTAAAAACAAACAAAATACTGATCTGTCTATTGAAAGGTTGGCAGTTCCAATCTGTGCGATAGGGTGAGCTCCCATTGGTTGTCCCAGCTCCTGCTGGCAGTTCCAATCTGTGCGATGGGGTGAGCTCCCATTGCTTGTCCCAGCTCCTGCCAAAGGGCAGGAGCAAATTGATTTACACAGTATTTAGTTCCTGACCCCTGAATATGTTGAATCTCTATGAAATCACAGATGTCTGAGGTGCTGAATTTGGCTTGTCAGCTCTCTTTTATGGGAAGTTCTTCATCTCTAAACATCTGTATGGCAACCAAGTACAATGTGGTTCTCTTGATGTGAGGAATAACTAAAACTATGGAATTCAACCAACGCAAGCAGGGGAGAATTTATATTTAGCTGTTTTTTGAAGCATTTATCAGGGCACTTGAGATATGGAAAAAAAAACCTGAATGTGGGAGAAATGGAAAAGGACAGGCTTTTCTGTCCTTACTGAAAGCAGGAGAAAGACAAGTACTTTTGGTTTTAATATATTTAACTATGTACTGAAACCTTTCTCAGTGAAATGAGAATTTGGATGTGTGCTTACCTTTCAAAAATATCTAATATAACTGTCCATAACCTTATGCAATCTAGACATGTTAGACTCTGACGGAGTAGCAGTAGTACAGGTATACACCAGGGGGCGATAACCTAAAGGTCTTCCCTGAGATGATGAAGATGCCAAGCACCAGAGCAGCGTTGATAGCAGATATTGTATTATTTACAGAATATACAGGTATATTTACAGCTAGGTCTTTGTTCTCAGTCCCAAAGTAATGCACAACAGTTTCCACAGAGTTTAGTGCATATATCAAAGTCAATGTCCAGTAAATCAGTTCAGTAGTCGTATACCATACGTTCCGTCCAAATAGCCAGAGTTCCTCTTCAATACCAAGCACACAGACACGGCTTCCTCCAGAATTCTCCAGCACAGGAACAAGACGACTCTTCTCCACGAACTCACCAACCAGCATCACCAACAACAACCCACAACAAAGCACAGATTATGTATGCTTGGTCTGCTAGTTTTATCCTATGTATGACAAATCCTAGGTTTACATTCACAGCTGTTCTAATCACCTCAGCTGTATACATTCAAGCTTTTGCTTCTCTTTACAATCCTGATCCTGACAATTACTTATTGTCATGTACAAAACTTGATGTAACAATTCTATCAGGTTTAGCCCAAACCTGTCAGACTCTTATCTCCTATATTTGTATAAGGCCATGCTTCCCAACCTCAGGTCCCCAGATATTTTTGGACTACAATTCCCAGAAATCCTGGCCCACACGGCTGGTAGGGAAGGCTTCTGGGAGTTTTCATGTAAGAACATCTGGGGGTCTAAGGTTGGGAACCACATCTATAAGGTTTCTAAGTTTTAAAGCTGAAAATTATGGTAATGATGAGTCCAGTCTTTTGGAGAGTTGGTTGTAAATTTCATTGGATGGGATATTTGTACTGTTCTTAACTGGAATATAACAGATTTCACAATGTATATGCTCTGTAACATCTATACACTGCAACATTGCTCTGAATGTGTGCTTTCCAATGGCATGCAACAGTTTATATGTTTTTACGTATCTATGAAGTTCTTGACAAGGAAGCTGAGAGAAGCTTGGCAAAGAAAGGCTGTGAAGAAGCCAGTCAGACAACAGGGATCCAGATGTTTTGCTAGAACAGTAGTTTAGTGAGTGGCTTGTTCTGGTTTGTTTTTATTAATTGCTTTTCACCGGAGATGAACTCCCTTTCAATTTAGAGAGCCAGCCAGCACTAGATATGGACTTCTAGTGAGTATATAAGAATAGCTGCTTTCTTCCTCTTCTTCTGTAGTTTTCCAAACAACGAACTCATTCTTAGTTTTGCAAGAACTTTGAGCATTCTATGTGTATTAAATGTGAAAAAAATAATCTGCTCTTATATAAAATCCAACACTCTGTGTTGCTTACTAGTGGGGGTTCGGCTAGCTACCTTAAAATTTTGGATTAGAATTTAGAGTTTTCTCTTGGCCACTCGCTTGCTACAATAGCTGCCGGATAACAGTTACAAAACAACAGCGATTTATCCCAGCCACTCCCATTGAATAATCTGTATGTAAATGATTTTTTACATTTTGCAGCTGGCTGGCTGGCTGAGTGGTTTAGGTATCTGTCTGTGGAGCCGGAGTTTGAGAGTTTGATTCCCCACTGTGCCTCCTGTGAAAACAGTCAGCCTGTGTGGTCTTGGGCAAACTACAGTCTCAGAGAGCACCCCCAGATGGAGGGAATGCTAAACCACTTCTCTGTACTCTCTCCTAGAAAACTCTGGAAAGGGTTACCATACATAAGAATTGACTTGACGGCCTGTGTTTGTTATTACTAATAAAATATTTGGCCCATTTTAATGTTTTCTTTTCTTCTGACTGATGTGGTGTTTCTGCACAGGTTTGGTTATGCATCAACCAGGAGATAGAACTGATAGAACATGTTCTAATTCGCATGTTTAATGCTGGAGTTCATCAGTCTCTACAGTCCAGCAGTAGTGCTAACTGGGGCTGAATTTCAGTAGTACAGTAGTTAAGATCTATCTAGAAGACAAGCCGTTGATGCCAGTGAAATGGTTCCAGGGGGTGTGTGAGTATAAACATTTTTATATTTGTGCAATACTGTACAATTCTTCTACACATGTATGATTACTTGTACTTTAATCTGTTGCCTGTAAGAAACCATATTTTGTTTAAAGTCCTGATATTGGTTATAATTTCACCTTCCAATTATTAGAAAGCACAGAGTTGCTTAAAAAATAGTACAGTGCTGTAATAGCTTTCATGGCAACTTCTTTTTTGGATCTTGCCATAGTGGGAAAGTAGAATAAGCACAAACACCAGGCAGATTGCCATGCATCCTGGGCTGAATTCTTTCAGCTTGCAAGAAGTTTAGGACAGTCCATATCTTTACCTTTTGTCCTTGCTTTCATGGTGGCAATAACAATCCTAAGACAAGTAGTGGACTTCCAAAACGTTGATAACATAAATACGCTTACAACAGGTAGTCACTTGTCTGGTACAGTGGGGTCTTGACTTGAGAACTTAATCCGTATTGGAAGGCGGTTCTCAAGTCAAAAAGTTCTCAGGTCAAATCTGCATTTCCCATAGGAATGCATTGAAAACCATTTGATCCGTATCTGCTCTTTTCCGTCCATAGAAACTAATGGGAAGCTGCTATTCTGCCTTCGACCACTAGAGGGGGATATTTTGTTTCTTTTCTTCTTAGGTCAAGAAAGGTTCAGGGAAGGCAGGGAAAATACAGTCCAGGCAGTACAGTACCAGGCAGTCCGAAGACTGTCTCCCAATCCACTCTCTAAACGCTGGGAGGCGTGAGGAAGCAGACAGGCACCCTTTTCACTGGCCAACAGTTAACTGAAAGTTCACATTTTGCACTTTCCCTGCCTCCCACGTGGGTTATTTTCAGTTCTTAAATCTAAGTATGTAAGTCAAATCAATATTTTCCTATGAGAGCGGTTCTTAAGTCAAAATGTTCTTAACTCAAGCCGTTCTTAAGTCAAGACCCCACTGTACACCTTAGAGTGTGACTGTTGCCTTTACATGGTGAGGTGAGTTCAAGAAAGAGTTGGTTTTTGCTGAAATCCGAGTTTACCCAAAGAAATCAGCTTTCTGGCTATAGAGGAAACCTGTTTTCTAGTATGCGTCGTGAGCTGTAAAAAAAACCACCCAAATTTCTGGTCTCTATATAAGCCTCCAGATGCACACGAGCTGGGCCCACCTTCCCTCTCCAATCAGCTTTGGTGATTCCGTTCTTTCCCATACAGTAGCCCGCTCTCGGACTGGTATCAGCGCGCACCGAGACGGTGCATTGTTCTGACACCTCGTGCGTCGCTATTTTTGTTGTCTTATTTGTGTGCGTTTTTGTGTCGTGGTGTCGGGATCGTCTCACATGCAGAGGCAGGTTACTATGGCGACCTCTTCGAAAATGGCTAAAAAGAAAAAGCGGGAACGCGGGACCAGAGAGGTCTCTGCAAGCGCCTACGCGACCGACTCCTTATGCAACACTTGGGCGAAGGCAGGGGCTCCCCAGAGGCCGCCAAGCTTAGAACAATTAAGCGCAACAGCCAATCAGATCGCGCCCTATGAGAGTTGCCGGGTCCCTGCCGGCGTATCCAATAAGGGCCGAGCGGCGGCGGCGGCGGGAGGGGGAAGTTTATTCTTAAAAAACCAGAGATTCCCCCCCCAGGGCCGAAAAAGCGACTGTCCAATCGGCTTTCGGAGGGGCGGAGCCCGCCGCAGGAACGGGGCAATGAGGGGCTGAGAGGGGCGTGGCGCCAAGGCTGATGGTGTGGCCGGAGGGGCGCTTAATCCGGTTCGCGAGCGGTGGCGAGACACGGGGTGGGATCGTGGCGGCTGTGCGGTCGAAGGTCGCGGTCGTCCCCTGAGAATCGCCGCCGCCGCCGCCGCTGCTGTTGCTGGAGATGGCCGAGGCGGAGGAACTCCCGGCGACGGGGGCGCCCCCTCCTCCGCGCTGCTTCACTTGGGACGAGATCCAGCCCCGTTCAGGCCGAGCCCCGGAGCGGTGGCTGGTGATCGATCGGAAGGTCTACGATATCAGCCAGTTCCACAAGAGGCACCCGGGGGGATCCCGCGTGATCAGCCACTATGCCGGGCAGGACGCCACGGTGAGAGCGGACGAAAGGAGAGCCCCTTAACCCCCCCACCCCCTTTGGTGTGGCCATGGCTGGCGGTGGAAGCGGGGGCGGGCATAAAAAGGGGTCGGGCGAGGGGGTGCTGGCGCCGCCAGAGAGCCTTTGCCGGGGGCTGAGTTGGCGGTGGGGTCTAGACGGCGCGATGTTGCAGAAAACGGGGATGCCTGTGGGATAAGATGACGGAGGGGGGAAGGCCCCTTGCTGAATGAAGAGAGGCCCCTCGTCGCTCTGGCTGAGTGGTTAAGCTTGTGCCTCCCCGTCTTAAACACGTTCGCTTCCGAAAGGAACTGAACGGAGGGAGCTTCGTGTGGTTGCCCCGTTTGTTCAGCTGCACCGGAGATCCCTGGAGTGGCGTAAATGCCCGCGGGTTTCCTTGTGGAAAGGGTAGACTTTAGATCTACAGTACTGGATTACCGTAAATTAGGGAATCATATCTGAAACAGAGGAGATGGAGACTGAGCCTACACCCGGTCTTGGAGATGCGCAAGGACTGCCTGGAGTTAAATGAGAGGTGAAAGGGAAAAGGGCTCTTTGCATGCTTAGGAACACTAGCTCAGTTCTGGTGAGCATTGCCTCAAATCAGAGTCGCAGGCTGCCTACTTTCCTAGCATTAAAACATGTAGAAATCCTAGAAATTTTTCTGGAGGAATAATTTCTGAAGACTGGTTTTAGACTCTGACAGCACCAATAGTCCTATGATATCTTAAAAGATGGGATAAGCTTTCATGGACTAGAATACCTGCTGTCAGAAGGTATTCTAGTCCACGAAGGTGTATGCCAGACTATTCTTGCTCTAGAACGTTCAGTTTTTCTAGACAGAGGTGATGGCCAAAAACAAAAAGGGTGTTATGAACATCTAGACTTATATAGTGTAAAACTGCCTTCTGGTGTTGGAGAGCAGAGTGGAAAGCTGGTTTTTTTGCTCAGAGATGAAGTTTCCAGAACCTGGTTCACCGATGGCTGAATGCCACTGTAAGTTAGAGATGGCCCAGAAGGCCTAGATATTTTGGAGACTTTCTCATGCTTTTTACTCCAGGCCTGGAACCCTCTATAATGCAGGAGGCCCCAGCATGTAGAAGCCTTCAGACTTGCTGCAGCATTTTCATTCCAGTACTCTCACTGGCTTTGGGAAGGGGATTAGAGTAATGAAGCATCCCTCCCTCCCTCTCTCCCTCTTTCATTGTTTCTAAAGCCACATAGAAAGAAAGGAGCACCATCAGAACACAGCAGTGCCCCTTTTGCAAACATTTTATAATAATTGGGGGGAATTGGGGAGCCACCAGCCCTATACATTCTGTATAAATCAGCGTGGCTCCTTTGCTAAAGGGCATGCAACAGGTCTTGGCTAGGATAGGAAACAGGGATTTGGCTGCTTCAGGCCTTGTTTCTTTCCACAGAATTGCATGTGCTCTTCCAGGAGGCAGATGTTGCTCCCTAGTTCAGTAAATTAATCAGTTCCTTAGTTTTACAAAAACATGCAACAAAATGTAATTATGTGTAACTAAAATAATTGTGCGTTCTTTTCTGTTTTACTCTATTTGCATTTCTCTAGCTTTTTCCTATCTCCACTGTGTTGAGTTGCATTTGTAAGCCTCCAGGGGCAGGGACCTGTCCTTTTTTTCTCCCTGCTTTCCAGGGCTGGCTCCAGAGAGTAGACTAAGCATTTGCCAGAGCTCCAAACTGCAAACGGCTGTCTGCTTTATTAGTATGACCGTTTGTGTGCTGTATGAGATACATCCTAAGAGAGGAGGGCAGAAGGTAGATTGGGACCAGCTGATAGATCTCTGGATGATTTACAGTAGATCTGCAAAGATTTATGTCCTGTAATACTGTAGTTCTTTAATAGTGAATAACAAAAGGAATTGCCTTGTGCTTTCAGTCATCCTGCTGAGATGAAGAAAACTCAAGTTAAACAGATAAGATATTTTGTGCTGAACATCTGTGACCTCCATTCAGTTTCTGGTGCTTGAAACAATCACCAGGCTCATGAGATCTCCCATATGAAATGCACAGCATCTGACCCAGGTTCTGCCAGGAGGACCTGAGAGCTCTGTTGAAAAAAACAGAATAGATCCCACAAGCTTAAAGTTCTGCTTGGCTCTTCCCTAAAAGAGTTTTCAGGTTGTATCCATGTCTTACTTCTTCCAAGTTGTGGGGTGGGTTCAGAGCATCTTAAGTCCCAATTCCACCTTGGAACCAGCACTGTTAACTTTGTAAGGCAGGGGTTTTAAACTCAATTTACCTGGGGGCCGCCAGAGGCAGAGTCTGGGTGAGGCTGGGCCGCATCAGATTTTCCGCCAAGTGGAGCAAGAGCCCGAGGAAGCTGCCCAGGAGTTTCCTTAGCCGACAGACAGGTGGGCCGGCTGGCAGGCTGCAGTTCTGGATGGAGGGTGCAAGAGGTGCTGTCTTGGGAGAGAGCCGGCGAGCGAGGCAAGGCTTTTTTTTTTTTACTCTTGACAGCAGAGGATGTGTGGGTGCTTTGGGGGGCAGGCAAGGCGAGGGCCACAAACTATCATCTGGGGGGCCACAAATGGCCCCCGGGCCGCATGTTTGAGACCCCTGTTGTAAGAGCTATGCACAGTGAACACAGTAGGAGATTAATGATCATAACAGTGAACCAAAAAGCGCTGGAAAGTGTGGGCACATCTCCAGTAGAAAAGGGATCATTTTATGCCTGCTACCTTGCCCTCTCCTGGAAAGTTTACTATTTTGACAAGTGCCGAGAAGAGATCTACACCCCCATTTCTGCAAATCCCAGGTTTCCATGGGAAGAAGATACATCTTATGCCTTGTTTATGCATAGAAATATGAATAACAAGGTTGTTCTATTTCTTTTCCCTTTTTAAACAAAATAATAAAGAATTCTTTGAGATGTTTGGAGTCAGGGAATGACCTTTTCATTAATTCAAAAAAAAAATGTTGAAAACAGAAGTGGGAAATGTTACCTTTTTTTGGCTATAGCTCCTAGAGGATGACAGGCAGAATGGCCACTCACCAGACTGGCATTGGTGTTCTGGTATCTCAGATATCAAGAAGAGATCTAGGCTGATGGTTCTCAACCGTTGATGCTCGAGGTATTTTGACTCTCATTCCAGAAGCACCAGCCACTGTGGCTAGTGGCCGGGGATCCTGAGACTTCTTGACATTCAGGATGCCAGGTGGGCATTCTGAATGTCAAGGCTGAGGCCGACACGTGTACAGCTGTGTGGCTGCAGGCATCCCTTAGCGCTCCGCTCACTCATCTCTCCATTATACATTCATGTTTCAGCTGAGGGTGTTTTTCTAAATGAGGTACTGAGCTCATTATTAGAAGTACGCATGACCTCCAGAGACAGTATTACTGTCTCTGTGAAAGGAGTGAAAATTGGTGGAAGATAAATAATTGATGCTATGCAGATGACATCATATTACTGGCAGAAAGCAGCCAATGTCTTGACACCAGTATTAATGTTAAAATAAAAGTAGCATTACGGTGGAACGTTAAGAAGACAAAAGAAAATGGCTGCAAAGAATTATGTAACTTTAGTGCTGTTGATGATGAGTTCATATTTATTAAGGAGTTTCTACCCTGTGGTTCAATTGTCAGTCAGAATGTTGATGGCAGTCAAGAAATCAGAAGACTGAGACTTGGAAGGGCAGCTATGAAAGAACTAAAAGGACCCTTTAGTGAAAGGAAGTGTCACTGGAGACCAAGGCCAAGATCTATGGTATCCTTAAGCATTATGTAAGATGTGAAATCTGCACAGGGAAGAAAGCTTATAGGAAAAAATTGATTTGTTTCAAATGCAATCTGCACAGGGAAGAAAGCTTATAGAAAAAAATTGATTTGTTTCAAATGTAATGTTGGAGGATAGCCTTGTGGATGCTATGAAAGAAGGATAAATAATTTTTTTTTTTAAATCAAGTTTGAACTCACTGGACATTAAAATGACTAAGCTAGACTATCCTCCTTTGGTCATATCATGACTCTCCCAGTGAGACAAGACTCACTAAAAGACAGTAATCTTAGGGAATGTGGAACATGGGATGACTCAGTAAGTTAAATTGTGGTCTCTAGTTAGCAAGAACTAAGCAAAACTGGTAATGAAAAGACCTTTTGGAAGGCCTTAATTCATAGGGTTTCCAGAAATCATAAGTAATTTGATAGCACATAATAACAGTAGTGTGGAATATTAGGTCAAAATGTTGAGTTTTCTCAATTTTCTTAAGAATAGATATATTCACCATCTTTATGTGGGTTTATGTGGGGATACGTATAGGGTGCAGCTCTCTGAATGACACTGGTCTCCACAAACAGCATGACATGTAATAAGAGGATGGGAGCCGTAGTCCAACAACATCTGGATGGCCAGTTTCCTCACCCCAATCTTAAAGCATTTGTCTGGAGAACCAATTTGCTGACCACTTCAATGTTTGGAACGTTGTATGGTGGCCAGATGCCTGTATGCTGGCAAGTGGTCTGAGCCATTCCTCATAAACATGTATTTGGTCTCTTTAAAAGACTGGGAGCCAGCTGGATAGCTCACTGGTTTAGATATCTGGCTGAAGAGCCAGAGGTTGAACATTTGATTCCCCGCAGTGCCTCCTGGGAGAAGAGACACCCTGTGTAGTCTTGGGCAAGTTATACAGTGCCAGAGCATCCAAGAAGGGAATAGTAAACTATTTTGGTGTATTCTCTACCTAGAAAACCCTGGAAAGGGCTGCCATAAATCAGACTGGACTTGATGGTGTGCACTTATTATCATTATTATTATTAGAAAGACTTGTGGTCTGGTATACAAAACAGCAATATGTAATAGTGCCACAGATGTATGTGGCACTATTCAGACAAAAAAAAAATCAGTGGCACCTAGGCATCATGGCTGGGTGAACTGGCTCAGTTTCTGATGGAGCGAAATGTTTTTAAAAATCTGTTTTGAGAGCTTTGAGGGTGCACGGAAAGCATTTGCTTTTGCAATCTAAAATGAAGCTGAATAAAGCTGAAATTCTGCTCATCTGAGAAAAAGAACTGGATTTTTTATTCTGGTCTTCTTTTCCCCTCTCTTTTTAAGTGCTCCCCCCCCTCCAGACCTAAAAAAAGCAGCCTGTGGGTTTCCGATCTGCGTCTAAACTGCCTGGTTAAGTACTGTACTATGATTCCAAAAGTTGCTTTGCAATCTTCCCCCTATTCCTTTTTTCTGCATCGCAGCCAGGTTTTACAACCACCATTGTCATGATTGGTTGAAACTTGTGGTACCACCATCTAAAGCTCTGCCTATGATCCACCCCTTTTCCCCTTCCAATAAGAAGACTGATGGGGGAAAATGCCACTCTTCTTTCCCCCCCAATCAACTTCCCGTATTCAGATAAGCATCAGCTCTCTCTCTGATGGATAGAACTGGAGGCAGTGGGAGGAATGGCATTTTTGTATCCTTTCTTGGCTGCAGACCAGTTAAGTGACTGACGCCATCCAAAAGCAAGCATGTGTGGGTTAGCCTGACCCATGAGGTTTTTGGAAATGAAAGTGGAAGCACCGAGGGACACAGTTTTATTGGTTTTATTTAAATTGTTTTTTAAAGAAAAAGAACTTTTTTCTGTTAGAAGCATGGTGCTGTCAGACAAAGGAAAAGCTGATTTATTCTGAACAGTGAAGCAGGGATGGAAGAGGAAGATTTTTTTTTTTTGTAAAAAGGTCATGACTTAACATCTCTTGCCTAAAATGTCTGACCTAAAAGTATTTTGCCATTAAGGAGCTGTGGAGCCACCCTCTACTCTACCTGGATGGCACTTTTAGTCTCACCTGCAGCATTTTCCTTGTGGGTTTGTATTGATTTGAGATGGCTTATTCATATTTTAACTTCAGCTGAATGGAGATCTGTTCTGAGTCACTGTTAGCAGGCAAGGGAAGGCACTGGGACTCATTGGTCCTGCTTTTCTGTGTAGTGCCCTCCCAAGACATTGGGCTCCCCAAATGAACCCTCCTGCCTTTTATCATGTACATAAACCAGCTAGATGGGCAGTGGGGCACCATCCACACTGGTGGGGCTGAGCAGGCTGTCTTCATTAAAGGGCACAGGGCAGGCTCTTTATGTAGCCTACACAATTCTCTCCCACTGTTGCTGTTCGTTCCCCACCCTGAAATCTGCTGCTGAAGGCAAGTACTTCACTGCACCTAATGGCCGGACCGGCTCTGTTTCTGTGACTATAACAGTCTAGATGGCGATGGAGGTTTTCCCTCTGATATTCCTCATTCCTCAATCGTCCTTTCCTGTGGAATGGTCATGACTGGTGGAAGAGCCTGTGAATTTCAACAGTCTGTTTTGTTGCTGTATTTTTTAAAAAAGAAAATGGACACATCTTTCTTAAAAGGAGTGCATGCGTGCACTTCAACAATGATGAAGAAGAGAAAGTGTTAGATAGTGGGGTTCGATGCCAAATAAGAGCTGCGACACCGTAGTAATTCAACTCGATTTACTGAAGACAGAAAACACACACACACACACATATATGTATAAAAAACCCCACCCCTCATTTGGAGGTTTCCAACCCTCCCTACTCTATCGGCTAATTGCCCAGCATCTATACTAATTGGGGGAAGGAAAGTTAGCCTCTACCACCGCTGTCCTAAGGCTCCTACTGAAACCTGGACAGGACAACGGGGGAGTTGATCTCTATACACAACAGTAAGATAAAGAATTAAAATGGTGGCTACTCAGTGAGGAAGTTACTTGGTCAGTTTAATTTAAGAGAAGTATTTGGCTAGTGAATAGGATAATCCAATCAGTCCTGCTGAGTCCATTCAGATCACACAGTAGCTAGTCATTAGCACTCTCCATAAAATGGCAGCCAGAGGGGAAGATCTTTAATGCAGAGTGTGCATTATGGGCACAATCCTGCTTCCTTGCTCTTTCAGAATGTAATTGTTTGGACCTGCTGCCTTCTCAGTATGGCACAAATTTCAAGTTGTTAGAAGACCTAAATACCAACCCAACAGGGAAACCTGTGACTCTTGAGTACTAATATATTACAGCCTGTGCTTTCTTAGGCTAGAATTCAGGTCATCAGGTGCAGGGATTGTTATCCATGCTGTAGGTAGTAGGTGGAATTGTAGTCGGGTGAAATGCAACATTACAGACCATGACAGAAAGTAAGACCAAGTATTCATAAAACCGCTGTGGTGGTAATATGGGTGAAATGCAACATTACGGACCATGACAGAAAGTAAGACCAAGTACAGTATTCATAAAACCGCTGTGGTGGTAATATAAATGCCCTAGTGTTGTTGAGCTAATAACTAACATAAGGTGGCTAAAATCTAGTAGCAAGTTGCAGTTAGCGTAGGCCCGTGGAATCAGTGAGGATCTGGTGAATCAATCCTTCAGTTCCATTGATTCTATGTTGGGCCTCTTCTAATTACAACTGACTACTGGATTTCAGCCACAAAAGGACAGAAGCTCTGTTATCCTGATTCAAGTGATGGGATTGAACCGCGTGATAAAATTTTAATGTGAGCTTTCGTGGACAAGTCCACTTCTTCAGGCGTAAGAGTGGGACTACATGGCAAATATTTATATATGGGACCTTTGCTGGAAAAGACTGTACAGTATTTTTAAGAAAGAGATTTCCCCCCCTCCCCGCACAAGTTGTTGATAGTGCGGTATTTTGCAGCTGGCAAAGACCTTTAAGATAAATTGTGACCAGCAGTTTCCTCCTTAATAAGGTAGGTTCCTTTGTTCCAGGGGATAAGACAAAGTCAGTGAGAGAAGGGCCAGCTGAAAATCCAGAAATGTGTCCACAGCAGCATCTAGTGGTCAGAAGGAGCATGTGCAATTCAAGATTTAGCCGCTTCCAAATGCGTAGGTTAGCGTGTTGGTGAATTTAAACAATTTTTGTCCAGTCAAGGGAGGGAGGGAGAGAAGGAGAAGTGCAAAATGTTGTAGCATCTTCAAGAATAATATATTGTTTTTGTGGATGAAAATCCTCAAACATGTGGGAGGAAAGGGATATAGCTCTTCCATGAAAGTTTACATTTGAACAAATCTGTTAGTCCTAAGGCGCCACAACATTTTGTCCTTTGCTTTTTTTAGTTCCTCTCTTTTTTCCCCAAGCTTTAACTGTATTGTCTGCTCCGAAGCAGAAAGATTTCCCATCAGACTGGGGAGGGGAGGAGCAGAGTGCCAAGGAAACCAGAGCCCCTGGCAGGCAAAGCAGTTTCTGGATCTGCAGTGTTGTCATCTCCAGTAGACAACATGGAATGTGTAGAGGTCCAAGGTAAAGGTAAAGGTTTCCCTTGACAATTTTTGTCCAGTCGTGCTCGACTCTGGGGGGTGGTCCTCATCCCCGTTTCCAAGCCATAGAGCCAGCATTTTGTCCGAAGACAATTTTCCGTGGTCACATGGCCAGTGCGACTTAGACACGGAACGCTGTTACCTTCCCACTGAGGTGGTCCCTGTTTATCTACTTGCATCTGCATGCTCTCGAACCGCTAGGTTGGCGAGGAGCTGGGACAAACGACAGGCACTCACTCCGTCGCATGGATTCGATCTTACGACTGCTTGGTCTTCTGACCCTGAAGCACAGACTTCTGCGGTTTAGCCCACAGCGCTACCACGTCCCTATGTAGAGGTCCAAACTTCTTTTAAATAAGAGACCCCTTTCTCCAGGTAGTGAGTGGACAAAGGAAAGATAGTCAGACACGACTAAAGGTCTCCCATCTAGAGCAAAGAGTGAGAGATTCGTATATTTAAATGCCTTAATTCTCCAAGGAAAAATGTTCTTATGGCAATGTGTTCTTTCTGGGGTGGAAAACAGAATTTCAGGAGATTGATGGCAGCTACCTACACTGTCTGGATTTTTCTCATGGGTGTAGGTCTAAGTTGCACAGCATCCTGCCTGCTCTGGGTTTCTCTTCAAATCGTATACATCTTTCGCCTTTTACTGTTCTCACTCTTGTCTGTGTCTTTCTCCTCCAGGATCCCTTCACGGCATTCCATATTGACAAGACCTTGGTGAGAAAATTCATGAAGCCCTTGCTGATTGGGGAACTTGCTGCTGACCAGCCCAGTTTCGAACCCTGGAAAAATGTAAGCCTTCCTTACAAGCCAGATTTGAGGGAAGAAATGTATGGATGGATGGGAAAGTCTGAGATGAAAACTTGGGAGGGACGTTGCCTAAGCCCAGAGCTTGGAAAACTGCTTTTTAAAAAGTAGATAGGGAGAATTATCATTGCAGTGCTATTCAAAATATATTGTTATGTTTTGTCAAGCTGAGTTGACTTACAGCAACCCTAATAGGGCTTTCAAGGTAAGTGAGATATTTAAGGAGTGGTTGTACCCGGTCCAGCTTGCCCCATGAGTTTCCATGACCATGTGGGAATTTGAACCCAGATCTTCTGAGTCCTTGTCTGTCACTTGAGTCCATACACCATACTGGATAGCTGCAGCGTGTAGGTGTGCCTATGTATATACTGTATGTCTCTCTGTGTATTAGTATATTTGGTTTATGTGCTTTAGAAATATAGTAGCTCCAACTTGCCAAAAGCAAGTTAATTATCTTTCTACTCATTTGGATTTAGACATAGTAGCTCCAACGTGCCAAAAGCAAGTTACGGTAATTATCTTTCTACTCATTTGGATTTAGAAACGCATATCAATGCTTCTCCTGTTCAACTCATCATTTCTTCAACATCCACCACACAACAAAAGGTGGCAGCATAAGACAGTGCTAGAACCGTGTGATTTTTCTTCTCTGCCTCTTAATATCTCCTTTGTTTGATATGGTGACCCCATTTTGCAATATGCTCTTAAGGCAGAAGTGTTGAGTAACTATGTTTTTCTCTCTCTAGGATTGCAGCATTCAGCCTGATGTGCTCTAGATATTTTTAACTGCAATTACCATCAGCCTCAGATGATACAGTGAATAGTCAGGAGTGATGGGAGTTGTAGTCCATGACAACTGGGGGACAGTGGATAGGGGATGTATGCTCCAGCAGTCCTGGGCAGAGCAGAGGAATTTTCAACTTTGTGTCTTCCGTGCAGAAGCAGCTCACAGAGGATTTCCGTGAGCTTCGTGCAACTGTGGAGAAGATGGGACTCCTGGAACCCAACTATATTTTCTTCTTCCTGTATCTTGCACACATCTTGGTGCTGGATGTGGCTGCATGGCTCAACATGTGGTACTTCGGGTGCTCTTTGGTGCCTTTCCTCCTCTCTGGGTTGCTGCTGGGCACCGTCCAGGTAAGCTACTGATCAGGTGGTATTGAATGGCCTATGAGGCTGTCATTACATGAGTGTCTCTTTTGCCTGTTATCCGGGGTGTTCGGCGTCCTCTGTATCTGTGGTGCCCCCAAAATGCACAAGGCATCTCCATAGATCTCTAGTGAAAAGATGTGTCTGTTTTGACCTTATTTTGGTGTGTGTTGGGGGGGGGGGAAGGGTTATTGGATGCAGTCCTTTGCAGTTAAAAAAGAAAACCCCTTTTAGAGTTTTGTGGCACCATAAAGACTAACAAGTTTTCTTGGGCATAAGCTTTTCTGGCCTGTGATTTTTGCTAAACTGACACATAGACCTCTCTGTGAAGAGAGTTGTGCATATTAACTAAATTTGCTGAACTCTTTTAATCCGGACTTCAGTCGTTACTCTCTTTTCATCCCAACTAGCTAGACGTCAGATGATAAGCTTCCTTGTGGAGGCGCCTGTCCCCACTTGTACCTTTTTAATGATGCCGCAAATCCTATACACATAGGTGACATTGTGTGGATTTAATGCTGATGTTTTCCAGGCCCAGGCAGGTTGGCTGCAGCATGATTTTGGACACCTGTCGGTCTTTGGCAGCTCTAAATGGAACCACTGGGTTCACAAATTTGTGATTGGTCATCTGAAGGTAAGATTGCACCACAGCCAATAAACCTGGAGCTTCTTGGAATAAAGTTTGTCTGTGCCCACTTTCTAAAACAGAATATAAAGGTAGAAAGGTGCAGCAGTTGAGGTGATGGATTATAACTTGGGGGCTCTATGTTTGAGTCTCTTCTGGACAAGGAACAGTGGGTCACCAGAGCTAGCCGTTGTCTCTCAATCTGAACTAGGGTGGTTGTGTGAATGAAGCAGGTAGCAGGAGAAACCATGCATGGTCCTTTGGCCTCGTTAAAACAACAGCAGGATAAAATTTGGACCAAGTCAATCAATTAGAGCCCTTTTTCTGTTCCTCTTTGCAGGGAGCACCAGCCAGCTGGTGGAATCACTGGCACTTCCAGCACCATGCTAAACCCAACTGCTTCCGCAAGGACCCTGATCTCAACATGCATCCGTTGCTTTTCGCCTTGGGAAAGAAGCTCTCTGTGGAGGTCAGTCTCACAGCGCTTGGGGAATGGGAAGCACCTGATGCTCCAAAGTAAGGGAGAGGAATGTATAGACTCCAGGTATTGTTGGACTGCAACTCCAGTGAGACCTGGCCAACATAGGAAGGGGGGGAGGGATGATGGGAGATGCAGTGCAAATGTCTGGAAGTCGACACATTCCCCTCTCTGATTGTAAGTAATTAAATTGGACTGGTGTGTGTATGCGTGCACCTTTTGGTATTGTGAGAAAGGACTGAGTAGTGCTGATTTCTTGAAAGTGGAGGAAGGGACAGGGGGCCACAGGCTTGCAGAGAGAGAGAGAGAAAGAGAGAGAGAGAGAGAGATTAAAAGGAGGGCATAAATGTCCCACCACTGCCAAGGTGGGAATTCTTTTCTCCTCCATAAAAAGTTGTGTAATTGCACTTGCACTGTAATGTTTCGACATCCTGGCAGTTTTGAAGTAATTGCCAAATTTATGGCCTAAAATATATTTACTCAGAAGTAAAGTGTTTGCTGTTCTGCACCGAACAAGAAACGTTTGAAGGAGATTTCTTCAAAACCTTGGGCAAACATCTTAATTCTGGTCAGCTGTTGTTGTGGCCTTTTGTTTCTGATCATGGGGCGTTCTTGGCAAAGATACTGGAGTGGCATCGCCATTTCCTACTCCAGGTGGATTGTGTTTACTCAGAACTCTCCACTATGTCCTGTCTGTCTTGGGTGTCCCTGCACGGCATAGCCCATAGTTTCTCTGAGTTACTCAAGCCCCTGACAAGGCAGCAATCCATGAAGGGGGGGAAAAACTCAACAGTGGCCAGAGGATTGGAAAAGATCAGTCTACATCCCATTCCCAAAGAAAGGCAGTGCCAAAGAATGCTCCAACTACCGTACAATTGCATTCATTTCGAACACTAGCAAGGTTATGCTCAAAATCCTCCAAGGTAGGCTTCAGCAGTAATGGACCAAGAACTCCCAGAAGTACAAGCTGGATTCCGAAGGGGCAGAGGAACTAGAGATTGCTAACATGCACTGGATTATGGAGAAAGCCAGAGAGTTCCAGAAAAATACCTACTTCTGCTTCATTGACTATGCAAAAGCCTTTGACTGTGTGGACCACAGCAAACTATGGCAAATCCTTAAAGAAATGGGAGTGCCTGACCACTTTATCTATCTCCTGAGAAACCTATATGTGGGACAGGAAGCAATAGTTAGAACTGGATACGGAACACCTGATTGGTTCAAAATTGGGAAAGGAGTACGACAAGGCTGTATATTGTCCCCCAGCTTATTTAACTTATATGCAGAATACATCATGCGGAAGGCTGGACTGGAGCAATCCCAAAATGGAATTAAGATTGCTGGAAGAAATATCAACAGCCTCCGATATGCAGATGATACCACTCTGATGGCAGAAAGTGAGGAGGAATTAAAGAACCTTGTAATGAGGGTGAAAGAGGAGAGTGCAAAAAAACGGCCTGAAACTCAACATCACAAAAACTAAGATCATGGCCACTGGTCCCATCACCTCCTGGGAAATTGAAGGGGAAGATATCGAGGCAGTGACAGATTTTGCTTTCTTGGGCTCTATGATCACTGCAGATGGAGACAGCAGCCACGAAATTAACAGACGCCTGCTTCTTGGGAGGAAAGCGATGAAAAACCTTGACAGCATCTTAAAAAGCAGAGACATCACCTTGCCAACAAAAGTCCGAATAGTCAAAGCTATGGTTTTTCCAGTCGTGATGTATGGAAGTGAGAGCTGGACCATAAAGAAAGCAGACCGCCGAAGAATTGATGCCTTTGGTGCTGGAGTAGGCTCTTGAGAGTCCCCTGGACTGCAAGGAGAACAAACCGATCCATTCTAAAGGAAATCAACCCCGAGTGCTCACTGGAAGGACAGATACTGAAGCTGAGGCTCCAGTACTTTGGCCATCTCATGAGAAGAGAAGACTCCTGGGAAAATACCTTGATGTTAGGAAAGTGTGACAGCAAGAGGAGAAGGGGACGACAGAGGATGAGATAGTTGGACAGTGTCTGCGAAGTAACCAACATGAATTTGACACAACTACGGGAGGCAGTGGAAGACAGGAGGGCCTGGCTGGTCCATGGGATCATGAAGAGTTGGACACGACTAAACTACGTTGTTGTGGCCTAAAAGTGTGCATGAGATTAGCTGTCTTCTGTTTAGCTTTCGTTTATGATTCACAATCTTGATGGAAGAACATCCCTGCCAGAATTTACTTGAATGGTAACTTTTCTTGGAAATAAAACCATAAAAGGTGAGATGATCTGTAATGACTTTAAATTCGCTTAGACTATTACTCCAAGGTAGAGTTACATAAGTGTGATCTGCTGCTTAAAACTGACTGAAAACCAAATTCAGTTTTCTGTGGTTTTATTGCTTCCTCAGTAGGAAGCCTGTGGTAGAATTAAATGTGAAATAAATTGTTGCTCATTTTGGTTTTAAAATGTCCTTTAAATCAGTGGTCCCCAACCTTGGGCCTCCAGATGTTCTTGGACTTCAACTCCCAGAAATCCTGGCCAGGAGAGGTGGTGGTGAAAGCTTCTGGAAGTTGTAATCCAAGAACATCTGGAGGCCCAATGTTGGGGACCACTGCTTTAAATAACTGTTAAATTCCTGTTATGGAAGTAGGACAATTGTTAAAACAGTTCATATGTTTTAAAAAACAGGTAGTATGCTTGGATCAAGTCCTGCTATTGGGCAGGCTGAGGCAGTCATTTTAGGCAACTGATGCTACGAAGTGATAGTGAAGCACAGGAGGAGAAGGTGAGCTGCCATGGAACTTTCCCTGCACTCCATAAACAAGGCCAGTTCCTCCAGGAAGGGTAGAAGATGCTCCCCCACACCCAGTGTTAGAGATCCTTTGGCTGAGGTGGCAGAATATCATGGTTGGATGCCGGACACTGTCCTTTCATGGATTCATGAATGGGACTCTGGTTTCAGGTCCCTGTACCATGTTTGTAATTTTCCCCAAGCCCCTTGTAGCACAACTAGGAACTTTATGGGTGGGTTGGACAACATTCAGAGAAAGTTTGGCCACCTAGTTTCCTACTGCAGGGTCTGGTCTAATGCGAGTCCTTTCCCCCAACCTCACACATCCTGTTTTGAACCCAAAGTTAGTTATTTCCAAGTAAGTAGGAAGAGCATTATTGCTGTAATCTCTAATTTTCTCTTAAACAATTATTCATTTATTTCTTGACTCTCTCCCCCCCCAGTCGTATAATGGGGGGGGGAATCCAGTTCATTTAATGGCTAGTTACACAGGAAAGAATTTACATGACTTGAAACGGCTCCATTCAAGCTTGTTTACTCTGATTTCTTGGGCTTTGCTTGGTCTAAGGCATTATTTTTATCCGTTAAATCTGCCTGGATCCCAAGGAAAGAAACTTAATAAGTAAACCACCTTTCCCCCAATAAACGTCATCTCTTACTCTGACAAGTGACAAAACAACAGCTGACCTATTACGTCTTTCCCCTTTTTCCCAAGTGGGGAAGAAGTGCAGTCCTGCTGGGGTCAGTTTTGTTTGGATGAAAGCATCCTGATGATTTTATTGTGTCCTTGTAATTGTTGTTGTTGCTATGTGTTGTCAAGTCACCTCTGGCTTAGGGTGACCCTATGAAGGAGTGATCTCCAAAATGGCCTGGCCCCAACAGCCCCACTCACCTATGTTAAACCCTGTGGCTCCCTTTAGGGAGTCAGTCCATCTTGTATTTGGTCGTCCTCTTTTCCTGCTGCCTTCAGCTTTTCCCAGCATTATTGTCTTTTCCAAAGGATCCTGCCTTCATATGATGTGCCCAAAGTAGGACAGCCTCTGTTTCATCATTTTTGCCACCAGAGGTAGTTCAGGCTTGATTTGATCTAGGACCCACTTGTTCATCTTTTTAACAGTCCAGAATATCCCCAAAGTTCTGCTCCAGCACCAGATTTCAAGTGAATCATTCCACCCCCCGTCAGCTTTCTTTGCTGTCTAGCTTTCATAAACAGTCCAGGATATCCCCAAAGTTCTGCTCCAGCACCACATTTCAAGTGAATCATCCCCCCCTCCTGTCAGCTTTCTTTGCTGTCTAGCTTTCATACCCGTACATGGTGATTCAAAACGGATGACCTTGGTCTTTGTCTCCTGTGATGCTTGTAATCTTCCTTCAATTTACCAGTTCACAAGTACAGTGCGAGTGGAGGCAAACGAAAGCCTGAGATGAACCAGAATTTGAGGGTTCCCGGTTCAGTTCCACAATGGGCCATGGCACTCATGGCTGGGCCAGTCAGCCTCAGCCTCACCTATTTGGCAGGGTTGTTACAGTACTCAGAGGATAAAATGGATAAGAGTGTAGTGTATGAGCTGTTGGGAAGGAAGAGGTGACACAAACGTAACTAAACAGATGAACCACTGTACTTGATGTCAATTAATGCTTGCCCATTAATGCTTGTCTTCTGGATCTTCAAGGACAGACTTATTATTTTTCCGCCACTCCCGGTTTCGTTTGTTAGAGATACCTGCAAACTCCTCCAAATGTTGGTTGATTTTTCTTTCAAAATAAATGGCAGTCTTCTGGATCTTCAAGGACAGACTTATTCATAAACTCTAACACTACAGTAACTATTAACCATAACTAGAACAGGCTAGAGAATTGGGTGTTGTGATCCAGCAGATCTGGAGGGTGCTCTGTTGAGAGAGATCTATTCATGCTGTTTTTTTTGTAATAAAACAGGCCCTTCTCTTCCTCCTCCCTTCTGATCATGCTGTGGTGTAAAATGTAGACACGATGTTTACCTTTCTGGGCTTTCTGTGTCTCTCAGAAATTTTAGCAATCTGGATAGACTGGACAGAAATGGGTATTTCATCAGGGATGTACTTGAATGAATTCATGTGTGTCAATCTACTTTTGATATACCTTGATTCACTTTGCTTTGTTTTTGTAACCATTTTGTATGCAACACCCTTGTGCATACCTTGTATTCCTCACAACCACCTTCATTGATAATTCCTCCTCATGGTAGGAAGGAACAAGAAAAAAAGTGAACTTGAACAGGTGAAGAAAGGGAAATAGAGGAAAGAATGAGGATGATAGGGACAGGTGGATGAGGAGGGCTTGCAGAGCCAAAGTCAAGAGTAGAGATGAGGATGCCAAAAAGATAACAGAACTGGATGCTTCCCAGGTGTAAATAGCAGCGCCTTTGTAAATAGAGATATACTACAAACTGTCAAAGGGATTGACCTGAAATTGGCAGTTCTGCACTGGCATTACAAGTGCTAGGGTGTTGGTTATGGCTGGCAGACAGTTAGTCGGCTGTATACCCATCCTGATAAGATTATTCCTCAGTGGCTCACCCGCAAAATCTGATTTTACTGTATAGTCTGTGCTGCATTCCTACTGGGCTTAGAATCTTCAGTGCATTTTGTTTTTCATGCTTGTGTGTGAGAGAGTGAGGGAGGGAGAGAGATCCATCTATGGAAACTATGCATAAGAATATAAATAAAAAATCACCCTTGTTACCCTGAAACAGGCTGTGTTGGGATGGTGAGACATCTCATCAAAGAATCTCTCCTAGTTCTGCTAGAAATCTAGAACAGATCACAAAACTTCAGTGCCTAGTGATTCTTTTTATTTCCACATGGCTTTTGCGATTCTCATGAAATATCTCTGCACATGGATACCTTCGCCTTTGTGAACCTATGCAGGTGAAATCACAGAAGGATGCCTGATTGATCATAAGCATACAAACAACTCGTTCAGGGCTACTCCTTTTACTAATTCATGCAACAAGCCAACAGCAATTTTTTAAGGGACAAAAAAAAGGGACAACCCCATTCTAGAAAATATGTGCATTTTCGCCAAGAGAAACAAATCCTGTCCTTGCCTAGGAGACAAAAATAAAGTTTTATTTACCACACAAGGACAAATAAGCTAGAATTTACATCCCTACTAAAAGATTGAGTTGGGTGACAGTTCATTGCAAGTTGAATGCTGAAAAGTTGGGCCTAAAACTCTCAGTAGCCACGCTGATGGAAGGATTCTGGGAGTTGTTGTCCAGAAAGTCACCCTTTTGTGGTTTGGGGTGCAGTACGGAAGTGGAAGCTCAGAGGAAGTGAAAGCACAAAGTGGCAGGAGGGAGTTCTGTGGCCACATGTTCCCTCTGCTGTACTAACAGAAAAAAAAACCCAAGCAGACTTAATATAAGTTGATGCTCTTGAATCACAGATATAGCAAAGATATAGCAAAAGCATGAACAGACCAGGAGAGTAGTCCTCATGAAACAGAGGGAAGAAGTCTGTGGATATTTCTTTGTAGTGTCTGCACTTTAGGATCTCTTTGCTGATCTGCTGTTGTACTTTTTCTCATTCTCTCATAGCTTGGTATAAAGAAGAAGAAGTTCATGCCTTACAACCACCAGCACAAATACTTCTTTATCCGTGAGTATCCTGTCCTTTCTGGGATATGAGAAGGACTTTATCAAAATGCCACAAAAGAACATGGTTCTAACAATGATTCTAACAACATGGCTTTTAGCAATTTGCCTGCCTCTATATTATCCAGGGCCAGAAACAGATATGAGACGTAGCCGAAGACTGGATAAAGGACATTCTTAATTAATATGAGCTCTCTTGTCTTTGGGCAATTTGGCTTGTTTTGTTTGATCATTGGTCTTGAGGATTTCAGGAATGAGGTAAAATTTCACAAACATAGAAGAACTGCCCTGGTCACTTCCTGCCACATTTGTGTGCTTTCAACTCTAATTGCAGGTTATCTCTAACAATCAGTTTCTGACTGAGGTTTAGTCAGAGAACAAAGATCTTTCTCTCTCGCACTCTGTCTTTTAAAAGAACAAGCCAGTCAATACTTTGAGGGGGTCCTGTGTCTTGAGAAAAGTGAACTTCTTTGCTGGGTCACCAGTAGGTGATTTTCCCTTGTCATGGTGAACCCGGTGAGGAGGTGCTTACTCCTGTTGGGCCAAACTAATGCCACAGTAAAAACATACTGCAGAATTGGGGATTTATGAGACAGAACGTGCTCTGTGAATCTTCCCAACAAAACTTGCTGGAGCTCCTATGGCTGCTTGCCCCTCATCAGTTTTGTTCCAGCGGGAGAACTGTAGCCAAGGTCTCAGCATGACTGATAGTTCCTTAGTTATCAGGGCATGTTGATGGACTGGGCTGGGAAACAGCTTGCTGTCTTCCCGTTCTGTGTGCCGTAAAGCTGCAGAGCTGAGAGAGAGAGAAACCTCATCCCCAAGGCTCTCTTATTCTCCTTCCCCCATGTGTAAAGGGTAGAACAGACCTATGCAGAAATCCCCATGTTTGTTTGTTTATTTATTTGTTTATTTGATTTATATCCTGCCCATCTGGTATATTCTACCATTCTGGACAGCTGTGTTGAATCTTTGGTAACTTTGAATTAATGCCCAAAGGAAAGACTTTGGTTCAAATCCTGGTAAGCTGCTGCTGATCGGTATAGATGATACTGAGCTTGGTAGAGTAATGATATTGAGGCAACTTCCAGGGGGCATCAGAGTTACAGTACTTTGGGTGTAGTTCTGTTCTCTGTCTCCTGTGAAACAGGCACGGGCAAAGACGGGTGGTCTGCTCTGGAGCCTCCTGTTCTCAGGAGATCTAACACTTTAGCCCCCTGTAGTTGAGAAATGAGAGAATAACACTTGGAAAAGCCACATGGTTCAAGGTTTTCTGCCTCATTTCCCCTCCTCTTGTTCCGACTAAACACAATCCACCTGGAGTAGGAAATGGCGATGCCACTCCAGTATCTTTGCCAAGAACGCCCCATGATCAGAAACAAAAGGCCACAACAACAGCTGACCAGAATTAAGATGTTTGCCCAAGGTTTTGAAGAAATCTCCTTCAAACGTTTCTTGTTCGGTGCAGAAGAGCAAACACTTTACTTCTGAGTAAATGTATTTTAGGCCATAAATTTGGCAATTACTTCAAAACTGCCAGGATGTCGAAACATTACAGTGCAAGTGCAATTACACAACTTTTTATGGAGGAGAAAAGCATTCCCACCTTGGCAGTGGTGGGACATTTATGCCCTCCTTGTAATCTCTCTCTCTCTCTCTCTCTGTTAACGTGGCTCCATCCTTATTGTCCCCAACAGAGGAGAGCACCTCAAGGTTGCAGGAGGTCCCTGTCCCATAGCCTCTCCCATTTCAAAAGATGGGGAATGCCTTGGGAGGAGTGGCCTTGTCTCTGGTCATCTGATAGGGTCAGATCAGGTTCAACACACATATTGGATATTCCTCACCCTTGGCTTAGGAACTGGATGGGCTACATCAGCGCATCTAAGCCAGAGGTGGGCCATTCGTAGCCCTCTGAATGTTGCTGGCCTCCCATTCCTTGCCTTCCTTATTATGGGCTGTTCTGGGCTAGGACTAATCAAAACTGCAGACCAGCAACAGGTGGAGGGCCACATTTGGTCCAGGCATGAGCTGAATCTTGACATACGCACCTTTTCCTGACCACGTACTGTAGAGAGAAGAGAGGGAAAAACAGGAGATGATTAGGCAACCAGCTGGGAAGCCCAGCTCCTCTGCATCGGGGACTGATGTGGGTTTGCATTCTTCCCTAGTTGGACCACCAGCTCTGGTACCTTTCTACCTCCAGTGGTATGTCTTCTATTTTGCTGTCCAGCGCAAACAGTGGACGGTAAGTACTGCGGCAAAACAGTGTTTCTTTGGGTCAGATTCTTCTGCAGGAGACCAGGCTGGCTCCTTCCCTTCTGTCGTTCCACCAGCAGACCAAGACCTTCCTTTTCAGGCAGGCTTTTAATAGGTGAAGTTGGTAGACTGCAGATTTTAAGGGGGATTTTTTTTAAAAAAAATCCTTTAAAATGTTTATTTTAACTGATTTTAACAAGGTTTAAGATTCTGTTTTTTTAATAATTAGTACGTTTAATTGTTTTCAGCAATGTGATTTTTGTATTTTAAAATTGTTTTGATGTTTGAGTTCTTACAAACTGTTTATAAGCTATGCTTTGTCTTTCTACAAAGAGACAATCGGGATAGAAATTGAACTAATCAATAAAATAAATCCCCCTCTGATGCTTTGTGCAATACATTGGGGAGTTCCTACACCTCTGCGGTCTCTCTCCTTTCATATCTTATCCTTAAGACTTTAATATATATATGTATTAATATAGGTAGGTTTTTAATGTCTGGTGCTTCAATGCCAAACACGCAGTTTAAAAAAACCTAGAACTGGGGACTCAAAAGCAAGACTTGAGTTTTTACATTAACGCCTCCGGTTACTCAGTGCATATGAAGACCCTTCGTGTTTCAAAGCTGTGTATCCTAGGACTAATTCTTAGTATTTACCTGTCTCTAACACATTAATCTATCTGCCAGAGATAGAGAAGTCCAATAGATATTTGTTTATTTTCAACTGAAAGTAAGCAAATAAGGCGCAGACTCCACTCACAGGAAAAGCATGAGAGGGAGAAGGTGCCTCACGTACAAAAGTATACATTTTTATAAGATCAGCCTGAAAAGAGGGAGGCAAAGGAGTGTGGAGAAGGAGGGAAAAAAAGGAAGGCTACAAGGTGCCTAGGCAACGGGCCATAACTCACCCTCCCTGGGTTCCGTGTCAGACACTGAAGTCCCTTATCAGTTCAAGGGCACACACACACACATATATATATATATATATGTGTGTGCCCTTGAACTGATAAGGGACTGGAGCTGCTGGTGACTGGAGGCACATCCCGAGTGGGGTCTGGAGGCACCTCCGTGCCTGAGATTCCCCCCTCCGCCAGCACTTCTGCTGCCGCCTGCTAGTTTTTTCTTCTTCTTCAGTTTTGGGCACTTGGGCCCCAAAAGGTTCATCGTCACTGGTCTAAGTCAAAACTCAGAAATGATTCCTCTGGGATTTTGAGAGTTGTAGTTCAAAACGTAACTTTTCCGGGCTGTGGTCTCGGTTTCCAGGTTTCAGTTTTAGTTGAGCAGAGCTTAAAGAACTGTTGCAGAGTTGAAATACATTAAATTGCTACAGGGTAACTACCTCAAGGTTTGGTCTTTGACACATAGGGCCCTTGTGTCCCTGTTTCTAACTAATAGATACATCAGTGAGTGTTGCTTTTCTTTTCTGTACACAGAAAGTAGCCCTTGCCTGAGCGCTTTCTATGTTTTCTTCGGTCTGGAGCATTGGTTGGTTTCTTTATAACAAAAAACCCAGGACAGGTAACACCAGGTGCCAATTGTAACCAATTAGAATAGGAACCAGAGGACTTAACTTACTGAGCTATCCAGTCAGCAAAAAATTCTTTTTTTTCATTTGAGTGTAAAAGCTTAAATTGAACTCGGAACTGAAGGCTGACTACACAGATTTCCTTCACAGTTAGGTAGGTAGCTTTATGCATGTGGAGCCATTTAGTCAAGACATGGGGGGATGGAGGGGCGGGACAACGAAGCAGTGAGTGACGTCTACGCAGCTGAGCTCTAGGGGAAGGCACTGCCTCTGCAAATCAGTAGGGAGGCTCTGTGGTGCCATAACACGACTTCTTGCAAAATAGGCCTCCTTTTCTTTGTGGCAGGATCTGGCCTGGATGGTGAGCTTCTATATCCGGTTCTTTCTGACTTTCTCATTTTTGTTGGATCTGAAGAGCCTCCTCGGGCTTTTCCTGATAGTCAGGTAAGCGTCATCATTTGGACCGTGCCTTTCTTGTTTATGTGGGCTGTTCTATAACGCTTCTTAGGCCAGATTGCTTATAGGCCAAAAAGTCTGTACAACAAAACCCAGGATCCTCTTTTGGTCACAATGAAGTCTCTCTTGCCATTAGGAGACTGGCTGGCTAAGCCATCAGTAAAAGGAACCTTGTGGTAAATTATTCAGAGGCCAGAATCCTCTTGCATAGTTACACTGGTGTGATGTAGATGGAGTAACTTGTGGAGTCCAATTACCTCAAGTTAAGATTTTAGCCAGAGTTTGGAAAAGTCACTTTTGACTTTTACAAGTCCCAGAACCCTGCAGCCAACATAATAACCTTGCTTGTGAGGGGATATGGGGAACTGTATTACTAAACTGTCATGTTTTCAAGCTCTAGTATTTGCTTAAGCGTTTTGTTCTTGCATCCACAGATGGATTGTACTTTCCTCCAAATCACAGTAATATTAGGTTCTTCTGCCCACATCCTCCATCTCTCATAATATGAATTTTGCTGATGGAGAGCAAAATAATCTGAGTCAGCACTCCTCGAATCCTCAAAACTAGTCATATAGATTAGTTCCCCCCCCCTTTCCATTTCACTCATAAACCTGCACCAACAGCATGGAACAAACACCTTATTTCCTAGCTCAACATGGCAGCGGCATGTCCACAGTCTTAAAAGATGTTTAAGATTAGCTTGTCTTCCCTGAGAGTTCTTAACTGAAGATGTGCCTTTCTTTTTCATTTTTTTTGAGAATTCTGGGCATAAAGAAAACCTGAATGGTACCCCTATACGCCCCTGTTCTTCCTGTATTCCTTCATGTCTAGTTCATATTCCTTGCTCCATGAGACTTTGGTTATTCACATTCTGTCTTCCTCCTGGCTTCGAAGGAGTTATTTTCAAAAGGAGCTTCTTTTTGTGGTCTGTGTGGATCACACTATTGGGTTTGTACCTGCACAGAGCCAATCCTCAGGTTGAGAAAGGTCTTTGCTTGCAGTAGGCAAGCTACTACTCTGTGAAGTAAGGGGATCAGAGGAAACACGTGGAAAAATGCCATCGTTCACAGGATCATGAAGGCATCACCCTGTGATTTGGGGCTAGTCCCCCCTCTGCTGCAGAACCTGTGGCATTTTCCATTGTGTTGTGTGGCAGAGACATCCATGGCCTTGCCCTCTTGGCCTTGCCGGGATGGAGTCTATTTCCTGTGACAACTGGGAGGAAGCAGGAGTTGAACAAAAATTTCCCACTGGCGGAAGGGTGTTGAATGTGATGGCATTGCACCCATCAGTCAGTGGTGATGGACTGGCAAAACCTTAAATGGCACAGAAGATTCAGCTGATTTAATTCTGTCTTGGAAGATGGAGACTGCTTGTGGGTGACATAAGTGGGATACTCTTTGCCTTGCCTGAAGGCTTGGTCCCTGCAGAGGTTGGCAGCTCAAAACTGGCCTCTTCGTCTCCTTTACCTGACCTAAGGGGCACTTAGGAGGCAAACCGCAGCCAACTCCCCTGATCACTCAGTGGTGGTGGTCCAGACAGCCGTGGCTCGCCCCTCTTCTGTGGCTGTCCCACAGACAGATGGTTCCTCGTTTTACCACAGCATCCAGACGTCATCTCCCAGGACAACAGCTCTGTCCATCACCCCGATGTACAGTCCCTGCAACTCACTCCCCCAGCCAGTTTTAGAGGTGTTGCAGGCTGCCAGAAAGCCCTCTCTCTGTCATTCCTGTGCAAGAAAATGAAAAACCTTTTCTAATTTTGCCCAGGAAATTTTTTTTCTCCCCGTGTTCCTGTGAAGTTTTTCCAATTCTAAAGTTTTTCGTTTTGTTCAAAGGCCGGAGTCTTTGCTGTTCCTCTGTCAAGTTTTACCTAACTGCCATTTCAGCATCATTGTCTTTCCTCCATCTTCATTGATCCACTAAAGAAGTTTCTTTGAGAAATTTTGCTGATGTTTGAGGAATTCCCCTAGAGGACAAGCTGCAAAGCAGCCGCCTGAATGCAGCCATCCACATTTCGCAAGCCTAGGACAGGTGCAAAGCAACCACCTGAATGCAGCCATCCACATTTCGCAAGCACTACCTGACTTCTCCCTGAGATGCCAATTTGGCAAGGTGGTCCTTTCCTCCATATTGAAGTGACACTCCCACCTCTGGTAAATCAGCTTGCAGTCCAATACTGGACTCCCAATAGTGCGATCCACAGAGACCAGGATGAAGAATGACAGGTTGCTTACCTTTGGTGTAACTGTGGTTCTTTGAGCGGTACCTCTCCACAGGGCCTGCCCTTTTCTGGCGGACTTGAAATGAAGGCGGTTTGCTAGGGGCACACCACATGTGCACCATGGAGGGAGTGGGTGGGGCTCCTGGCAAAACAGTAGAGGGAGGGAGCTCAGGTCTGGAAAGTTCCAAATAGTGGTTCTGCACTGGTGCAAATCCAATAGTGTGACTCTATGGGTAATCACTTGAAGAAACGCAGTTACACCAAAGGTGAACAACATGTCATTATCAAGCCTGGATGCTTTTTGTTAAGTCTTGAGAGGATGGAAAAGTGATCCTCACATATTTGTTTTGTGCAGAATCATAGAGAGCCACTGGTTTGTGTGGGTGACTCAAATGAACCACATCCCAATGAATATTGATTATGATCAGAATGTCGACTGGGTTTCAACTCAGGTGAGTTACATTTCCTTTCTGTTAAGTATCATGGTGAATAGGAGACTTCATGGAAAGAAAGAAAATGTCTAGCATGCTGGAGAAAGTGCTGGTGGATGATCCTGAGCAACTGGAAGGGGAGGATGTCATGGCCTGTGCAAACATTTTGCCTTCCAGTTGTTTTCTAACTCCTAAGAAGTCCCTCCCAACAGCGTCATCCGAAACATCTGCAGGACTACAGTTTCCCTACCCCTGATGTGTAAGGAAAGTTAATGACTGCAAATAGGATGTGATGGAGGGGGAAGAAGAGAGCAAAATGCAGGGAGTGAGAAAATTTAGATTAATAAGAACAGGAATGCCTGAGCTCATATATCCATTGGACTGGGGTAGAGGAACTTTGCATCCTACAAAAGTTGATGTGCTGTTGCTCCTATCATGTCACCATTGGCTGGACTGGTTTCAGATGATGGGAATGGGAGTCCAGCCATACATACCTAACTGGAGCCTAGCTTCCCCATCCCTGCCTTAAGTCTGTTCATGATTTACCATATGAGCACTGGGCAGGGTTGGACATTTGTCAGGGCCAGGGATGCTCGAAGGGCTTGTCAGGCTGAGGCCTGGATTCCACATGGTCCCTAATCTACTTGCTTCGCTGCTGCTGTCCCTGTGTGTTCAGGGGGATGGGTTAGGGATAACAGAAATACCGCTGATCAATTTAGAAGTGTCCACGGGTGGCTGGCCCAATGCTATGCATGCAACCCTTGTCCGTCAGACACCCATTTGCCACATGGGGCACCACCCAACCATGTAAACCATCAGGCCTTCTCTGGCGGATGCAGCATTCTCTATTCAGAATAAAGTGTCAAATCGGTGGTGGTGGTGGTGGGGAAATACTATCAAACAGCTGTGTTTCCATTTAAAAAAATCCATGTCTATAATTAAGGGTTGCCCGACTGAAGACATGCATTGAAATTCAGGGATGTATAGAGGCCTGTTCTCAAGACTATGCCCACTATAGAGGTAGAGTATCTGTATATCAGTTCCATATTGTTCTTTTCACCTTTGCTCTTCCAGGGACCAAAGGCTAGGAATGCAACCCGATAGTGGGAGTGGTATCATTAATGGGAATGACCAGCTAGAAGTGAAAGCAATATATTTTTATGGAATGGTTCTTCCTTTCTGTCTTTCCAGCTCCAGGCAACATGCAATGTAGACCAGTCCTTTTTCAATGACTGGTTCAGTGGACATCTCAATTTCCAAATAGAGCACCAGTGAGTATATTCTGTCTTGAGGGAAAGGAAGGCTTATTGTGCATATTGCCATGTTGAGACATCAGCAGTTAGGAAGCTCAGACAAAGAATGAGATCTGTTCCTTCAAGAGTGGATTGACTGGGTAACTCAAGAAGCTCACATCACGGTGTAGTAAATGATGTTGTAGGATCCCAAGGGATAACAGAGGACCTTCTGAGATACCAAGGCAACTCAGGTGCCTGGAATTGCTTGTTATCTGTATGTGGTCATGTGAGCTTGTAGGGCCTTTATGTAGCTTTCTCCATAGTTCTGCGCCAGCAAATGTGGCTGGCCTGGGAGTGTGATTGAAGGGAAAAACTGAAAGAGAGGTATTAAAATACATGTGAAAACTGTTCAATATGAACAGTATGGTGGCCAGTCTTTGTCTGGCTTAAGTTATCAAGAGAGACCTGCCCTAGAATTGGATTTGTATTCTGAGATACTTGACTACAGTGGTGCCTCACTTGATGACGTTAATTTGTTCCAGCGAAATCGCTGTAGAGTGAAAACGTCAAACGAAATAAAAAAGTCCATTGAAATGCATTGAAAACTGTTCAATGCATTCCAATGGGCTGAATACCTACTCATCCAGTGAATATCCTCCATACGGTGGCCATTTTCTGGTGCCTGTTAAGCGAAAAATCAGTCCTAAAAACAGCAGGGGGGCCATTTTCTTCAGCCGGCAGCCACTTTGAAACCTGATGATCAGCTGTTTGCTGATCGTTGTAAAGCAAAAATCAGTTCCCGAAGCAGAGAACCAATCATCATTAAATGAAAAAAAAAACCCATTTAAACCATTGTTTTGCAATTGGAAAAGCGATTGCAAAAACTTCAACGTTAAGCAGATTCATCGTAGAGCGGGGTAATCGTCCAGTGGGGCACGACTGTACTTAGTTGTCTGAAAAGAGGTTAAGATAAGCATGGGATACATTTCCCGGTGAGCTTCACAATCGATAATAGCATGAGCTTCACAGAAGTGGAAGTTGCTGTTCCACTTCATGGAAGGCATGAAATCCCACAGCTGGGTCTTCCTTCACAGCCTCTTCCCCACCATGCCTCGGCACAACTACTGGAAAGCTGCCCCCTTGGTGAAGTCCCTGTGTGCAAAATATGGCATCGAGTACCAGTCGAAGCCTCTGCTGACAGCCTTTGCTGACATCGTACAGTAAGTATTGGTGAAAGCGCCAAAGCTATGAAGTGCAGAAAAAGGGGAGGTTTCTCGGTGTGGGAAGACACATCGGGTCAACCTCTTGTGAAAGGGCTGTACGCCAAAAGAACGGGGAAGGTGGGGCAGCATGAGACCTGATCTCACCAGCTGAAGGGTGGGGGGGGGAAATCTTTGGTCCTCTCTATGCATTGAACTGAACCCTCAGTGTGACAGAGCATGCATGGACATCTTAAGAGAGCACCAAGAAAAATCAACGCAGACTATCCCGTTTTTACTGAAGAAGCATAAAGTGGGTGAAAAACTCTGATGTGCATAGAGAATGAAAATTAAAGGTCAATCGCGCAAAGACAAATTTTTAAAAAGGCCATGGGTGAGCTCATATGATCTGTTATGAGTAGTGTGCAGAATCTTTTGGAGGATCGCACCAAGACAATTTGAGAGATCAGCAGAGAGCTTAGAAATCTCTCTCTCTTTTGGGACTCCCACCCCCTGAATCTAGTCAGTGTGGGCATCCTCACTGCGGGATTCTGTACTCCAAGAGATCAACATTTCTTGGCCCTGGTTCTGGGATGGTTCATTCATACCTGCAAGTTGTTACATCAACCGGCTCTGTGTTTCTCTTGGTGAAGTGATGCTAATACTTTCCTTGGGCTTCCTGTGCCCCTTTCCCCTGTTGTTCCATCCAGAATTGTCTTGATACTTCTTACCTGGGCATGCTTATTCAGACTTCCTTAGTTGATGTCAAGTATCTTTTTATGATTTATTTCTTGCACATTTCCGGAGTCAAACTGACTTGCTTGTTCTTGCATTCCAGCTCTCTGAAGGATTCAGGGGAGCTCTGGCTTGACGCATATCTGAATAAATAAGCAAGCAATATTTCCGCGGAGGGCATGAAGAGGACTCCCCACCCTCGCAGCCTCCATCAAGTCAAGAGAGTCTTGGGCCCGGCTTAATGGGGGAGGTGGGCAGCTGTGTGAACTGAATTCTAGGTGTGTTGTTTCAAAGTATTGATTTTCTCCCTCTTTGCTGATGCAACTCCCCTTCTTCCTTTCTTCTTGTGGGGAAGATACTGATGTGTTTCTGAAAACCTTAAGTGTACTAGGGTGAAAATCTCCAAAGCCAGAAAATGATGCCACGAACCACTTCTCTGCTGCCATTTCACTTACTTTGAATGTAGAAAGTAACTCTGTGTGAAAGTAACCTCTAAGACTTTGTGGCCTTGGCCTCCTGCTTTCCTTGCTCCTTCCTAGAGTGAGAAGAATTAAGGATGTGGAGATTGAATTGAGGCAGAGATGAAATGGAAGAGAAGAAACACAGGTGCTAAGAATTAATGCTCCCGGGTGAGGTGATTGGACTGGGGCCTCCATGGCTTGACTTCTGGGGATATGAGACAAAGGAAGGACCGCAGAAGATGACGCAAGCTGCATTGCTGTGTGAACAACCACGAGAAGAGCCGAATTCCTACATGGGTGTGAATTCAAGGGCAGTCCTAGGGTAGGGCCAGTTGTTCTTAACTGTGGGGTAAAAAACAAACACAGCTTTGATAACCTTTTCTTGCTCAAGAGTTATTGATGCTCCTGACTGTAGGTCTCACACGGGAAAATTAAAATGTCCGGTACTTACCTGGGTGCCAACGTGGGATCACTTGCTCAGAAGATGATAATGTTGATCATACTGAGAATGAAAAATGCATTTATATGCTGTACATACTGCCTGTGTGCCTACAAACACCTTCCGGTGTTTAAGAGAAGAGCTGAATAACTGTTCTTGCGCACCCAGAACTGCATTCTTCCTGGATTCCTCCTCTGTTACTAAGGGCTCTTTCTTGCGGTGTCTGTCAGCTGAATTATACAAATTCTGCTCTCTCAATGGGACCAAGCTTGGGGACCCTCTGGTCCCAAAGGAGAGGATATCCTCATGTAAGGTAATAAGGCACCATTCCCCATCCCCCTGACTAGGGTTTTCAAAGCTTGCCCGTAGACCATTTCAAGGACAACTTTGCCTTGTTCTGGTTCTCTCCATAATTTTTAGAAATATTTGAAATTTAAAGAGCATAATGTGCAGGAAATTTGCTGTGCAGTAGTTTAAGATCACAGCTGTTTGCATCTTTATAGGGATATGCTCAGGGTGTTTTTACAGAATCAGTTTTTATGGGGAGATGGCCACCTGTAATTCTTTCTTAGCTACTTATTCAGGCAGATGCCTTCCATCTTATGGAAATAGGTTTCTGGTCTCAAGGCATGCTAGCTGTGGAAATCAAATAGTCATCTTTGTCCCTCATACAAATCGGCAGTATCCCCTGAGAGAGAGAAATCCAGTAGAGCCAAGGAGGCTTTGGGTTAGCAAAGGGGAGGGAACCAAATCTGTCATGCCCAAGTTGAGCTGCCCTACAGTTCAAGAAATAGGCGTCCGTCTGTACGGGGATTCTTTGGGTGTGGTGTTTGCATAGCAGTGATTGGGAGAAAGGTGCTGGCTAAGCTGTCAGAGAAAAGGGAACTCCAGTTGTTCCACAAGTGAGTAGAATGGGGTCACCAGCCTCCCGACAGGGGTGTCACTGGTCTTTAGGGAAGCCTGCCTCACATGAGGGGAGGTGCCTTGCTCTGGACGTGAGAGGGCGCCCTTGGCCAACTTTTCAAGCCTTTTAAAACTCCAGCTTGGAGAAAGCAGCCGTGCACCTGCCTCTCCAGATCTCTTGTATTAACATGCCTCTGAGGAATGTTTTGGAGAATGCTGCGCTGCAAGAGATCACAACCGGGGCCTTGTGCCGTCTGGCAACAGGCGTGCCGGATGACAGAACACAACTGCCGAATTGGGTGACTAGGAGGAGGGGGAGGGGGAGGCTTCCTGGCATGATGATGCTTCATAAAAATGAACCCCAAGGCATCTCTTGGGGTTTTTTTTTGGGGGGGGGAGTCTTTTCTTTCCCTTCTGGCTGTTGATTCCTGCATCTTTTCTTTAGCTTTCATCTTGTAAGCGAGCATCCAAGGTAAGAAGATTCCCTTCTCTCTTATAATCCCTGTCCTCATCTCACCTGTTAGTGGTTTGCTAGCAAGCCTGACAGGAGTTCCTAAATGATGCCAAACTAGACAAGATGATAGATCTGTGACTGGATTGCTATCTTACGTTTTGCCAAAAGCAGTCATGTATGTGTGGTTGGTTGGTAGTCAGTAGGAATGAAGGGAGAGTTTAGGGGAGAATGTGCTGGAAGCTCATGCTAAATAAACCGCCACTGATGGTGTCAGATTATGAGAGGCCTCTAAACACAAAAACTAAACATTGCTAAAGTAATACACACACTTTTCCTGGCAATATGTTGCGGTGCCCTTTAAACTTGATGGTGTTTAGGTTCTTGGCCTGCCTCACACATGTAGCTGTTATATACAATGGTGCCTCGCTTAACGAAATTAATTCATTCCAGCGAAATCGCTGTAGAGCGAAAACGTCGTAAAGCAAAATAAAAAAGCCCATTGAAACGCATTAAAAGCCGGTTAATGTGTTCCAGTGGGCTGAACACTCACCGTCCAGTGAAGATTCTCCATAGGGGCAGCCATTTTCAGTGCCTGTAGAGCGAGGAATCCGTCCCTAAGCACAGCGGGGAGCCATTTTGAGCACCCTGTGGCCATTTTGAAAACCCGACAATCAGCTGTTTTGATAATTGTAATGCGAAAAGTGAAAAAAACCCATTTAAAATGTCATTTTGCGATTGCAAAAACATATGAAGCGGATTTGTCGTTATATGGGGTAATTGTTAATCGGGGCACGACTGTAATCTAAAACGGCTATCACAGACGACAGGGAAGGTAAATGAGCCATGCTGTTTTCTGTCACCCAGTCTTGCTGCTTTTTGCTCTGCCAGAGAAAGCATTGTGTACAAGCTACGCAGGCAGCATTTTTACAAAGTGAGAAGAAAGTCATTGGGAGGAGAGTAAATTCTCTGGGGAAACAGCATGGGGGAGCTATGCTCCTCCCCATCCTCAAGCAATGCAGTTTATCTGGATCACCACCACCCACTGGGAGTTGGTTGCTATTTTCCACTGACTCAAAAGATGACCACACAGACTTCTCTTGTCTAGTCTGGCATTGGGAGATGGAGATGATTGGGACATGAGAAGGAATTTGTATAGGATGCCACCACCTCCATCTATCCCTCATTGGTGCTTATAAAGAGAAAGAGGACTTGGAGTCTGATGATACAGTTTTTCTCTCCCTTATGGATAAAGATTATGGGCTTTTTTTTGGTCTTGGATGCAGATAATAAAGGTGCAGTTAACTCCTGAAATGAGTCATAAATAAAAGTAGTCGAAGCACACTGGTGGATTTTATTCCTGCCGTCTTTCTGTTTATGTTCTTCATTCCCTTCAGGTACATTCATGTGTTTAGTGAATGAGTGTATGAATGGATAGGCCCTGCTTGTTCTCCTCCTGCCCTTGTGGTAGTAAAAGCAGCGGAACCCTTTGGTGTTGCCACTTAACCCATGCCAAGAACTCTGTGATCTACAAAGTTGCCGAGGCTACCTTAAAAATGCTGGAGGCATTTTCTGATGCTGAAGTGTCATGGAAAAAGACAGTGCTTACAAGTTGAGCAGACTGTTAACAGACTGGGACCCAAATCTTATTATCCTACGCACTCCGCTAGAGGGCAATGACACAAGGGAAGCCCCCTCTTTCCTGGGTTGACTGCCTTGTGTGTGCCCTTTCTTGGACTGTGCAATTGTTCATGTATCTTAGTGTGTGAGGCATAGCCTGTGAAAAGGGAAAACTGAGCCATTACTGGCAATGTTTCCCACAACAGGATCGTAGCATGGGTTCTCAGCCCGAGATCATCCATTGCTACCATCAAAGTTGGTCTTCACAGCAGAATGAGAAGCCTTTCATCTTCCAGATATTTTGGATTCCAGCTTCTGCATCTGCTTGCTATTGGCCATAAGGAGAGGCTCTGATGGGGAGGCAATGTTTCCCACAACAGGATCGTAGCATGGGTTCTCAGCCCGAGATCATCCATTGCTACCATCAAAGTTGGTCTTCACAGCAGAATGAGAAGCCTTTCATCTTCCAGATATTTTGGATTCCAGCTTCTGCATCTGCTTGCTATTGGCCATAAGGAGAGGCTCTGATGGGGAGGGGCCAATCCAGGCCAAAGTATTTGCTGGGTAGATGTTCCCCATCCATGCTTTGCAGCACAGAAATGAATGTGGGCTATAACTTATCCTTCAGCTTTGGTGCCCTGCCTGTTGAGGTCCAAATCTGAGACAAAGGTTACTTTGAGTAGGAAGCCAAATGAATTGAGTAATCTATTTCTCAAGGCTGATGTCTTGATTTGCAAGGCAAACCACAATAAGCAAATTATAAGCACTTGGACATAGATGTAGCATCAAGAATATTGGGAACTTTAATAGTTGGAACTCATGTTACAAAATATTAGGTGATGGCTTTGCAAAATAATATCTCGCTCTCCATTGTGGCCATTTCCCCACCTCTTCCATATCAGTTTTCAGATGTAGTAACGAACTCTACACAGTATTCCATGTAGGGGAGTGTGAATACCATCCACTGTGAGTCAATCATTTTTCTTACAAACAGCGATTCTCCCAGACCATCCATTGTGAGTCAATCATTTTTCTTACAAACAGCAACTGAATTGCTTTGAGCTGATTTGTAGCCCAGCTGCTTCAGTTTATATTCATGTATTCAATGGTATCTGTAGTTGTTGGTATGGGTTGGGTGCTGAAACACACGTACGCACGTACACGCACACACAAAAAGATGGGGAAAATAAAGAACTCTGGTCTTGGATGGGAAGGTAAAACTCAGTGCTATCAAATATTGTGCAGGCGAAGCTCACACAGTTCCCGTACTCAGGGACTATGAAATATTACTCAGATTTGCTCAGCAAAAAAATTTGTTGAAGAAGGAAGGAATACTTATGTTTCACTGCACCAGTGAGTGAAACAAATGCATTATATTATTGAAATACATTTAAAATTAGAATACTTTTACATTTCTTCACTAAAAACTCATGCCAGTTTGCTTTCAAAAAGAGAAAATCAGCATACTAAGATCTTCTGGTCTGAGGATGTTAATTTCTGAAGGACTGCCTAAATAAATATTCCAATAAAGATTGACTTGAATGCAAAAGTAGGGAACAAAGCAGAACCAAATGTAGTTGGAAAATTTGACCTAGGAGGCAGGGGGAAAAAAGCAAGAGAATGATCCAGAGTTCTGCTAAGCCAAAAAAATAATAATATTGCAAATACATGGTTTGAGCAACTAAACAGATAAGTGTACACTTGGACATCACCAAATGGCCAACAGAAATCAAATAAATTAATTGAAAAGAGGAGATGGAGAAACTGCATTCGCTCAGCCAAAACATGACCAAAAGCAGGTTATGGTACTGATGAACTGTTAATATCCAACATTAGAGTAAAGCTGGAAAAGAACACTAAAAGAATTGTAGTGCTAAATGCAATTCAAACAGCATTCCTGATGGATTCGAAGTCAACATAAGGAACAGATTTGCATTACTTAATCGACTGTGAGCCAGAGAAACTGTAGATCAAAACCAGATATATTATGAATTCCTATAGTAAAAAGAAAAGAAAAAACTAGATGGACAACAGAAG